TTTTTTTTATTGTCTCTTTTTAAAAGTGGGTTGTCAGGGGAATTGTTTTTTTTTTTTTTTTTTGTGTTTTTTTTTTTTTTTATTGTCTCTTTTTAAAAGTGGGTTGTCAGGGGAATTGTTTTTTTTTTTTTTTTTTGTGTTTTTTTTTTTTTTCTTTTTTTTTTTGTTTTTTTTGGGGTTTTTTTGGGTTTTTTTGTTTGGTTTTTTTTAAATTTATTTATTTTTTTCTTTTAGCTAGGTTTTTTTTTTATTAAAAAGCAGAGAAGTTGTCTTGGGTGATTTCTTAGGGAAAAGAATGAAAAACAATTGTATGTTTTTCTGACCTCTTAAAAACTGAAAAAGTATATTGGTACCAAGCACTGCAAAGTTCATGAGAGTCTTTTAGATTTTTTTTTTCACCCTCAGTATAATTTTTATCCTCATTTTTCTGTAGAATAATAACTTTAATTTCCTGGAGAAGCTTTGAGTTTGTGGGACAAGAAAAATTCTATTGGTGGTGGAAAAACCCAGAAGGAAAATATTCTGCTGTTCTTACTGTGAGAACTTTGAATGCAAATGTCTTTAGTTTGCACTAAAATTACTTTCATTTTAGCCTAATCTATATCACAGATTAAAAATGTCTCTAAACTCTGTATTTGAGTGTGTTTAATACCCAGATTTGGGTAGTGTTGATAGAAAAGGATGTTACGTGAGCCACAAAACACAGAACAACATCTGCGTCTGCCTGGCTCCCTGTAGTATTTCATATTTTGGTTAATTCCACTGTTAGAAAAAAATGACTTTTGCTGAAGCCTCACCTGTGCAGTTTCTCAATGTGTACAGGATGATGTTAGTTTAGCACTTATATTAATTTCCTGAAATGTCTTTTCACTGGGAGAAGGAGATTTCAAAGCCAGACCTTGTTCTAAGTACAGTTTACAACAGTGCTAGTTAGGACTGGCTTTCTGGATCCTTTGGGAGGTTGGGTGTGCCTGGGAAGAAAGGTCATCTTACTTTTTATTACTCTTTTTTGCTTCTCCTGTCCTTCCTCTTTTGCAGTAAATTGGTAGCCAGATTTATTTCCTTTACATTCTGCCTCCCCACATAATTGACAGACAGAAATAACAGGAGGATAAACCGTAAAACTCCCTTGTTAAATGCATGTTATTTCCAAGAAAGCAAAACTTTGTGGTTGGTTAATCTTTAAGACTTTAACTATAACTTATTTTTTTTCCTTTTTCTCCTTTGTATTGGCAGGGTAAAAAACTTGAACATGCCTCGTAGCCCAACATCAAGTGAAGATGAAATGGCACAAAGCTTTTCCGACTATTCTGTGGAATCTGAATCAGACAGTTCCAAAGAAGAAACTATTTATGACACAATTAGAGCAACTGCAGAAAAGCCAAGCAGCAGAATGGAAGACAGTCAGAGCAACACATTAGTGATTCGAATTATAATACCTGACCTGCAGCAAACGGTAAGGCAGATTAAAAAAAATAAAAAAATAAAATTTAATTATTGACTTTGCTGCTTCAATCTGCAGTAGATCTGTTCTCTTTTCTTGTGATTTTTTGACATACAACAGGTAAAATTTATGCTGTGTTTTCTTTTAATCTCTACACTTTGTACCCCAGTGGTTTATCTGACTGATTGCCTGACCCATCCCCTCCAAGGGAGTGGATTTAGTATGTTAACTTGATGAAAGCTGTGATCAGAAAGCAAAAAAATATGTCTGTACTGCATTTGGGTAGAAGAAAGAGAATTAGGAATCTCATCAGAAGAGGAAGATTGAATGCAGAAATCACATGTTATCTCTGTGAAAGCCTCATACATGTATAACCCCACTGGTTTATCTCTTCTCATGAGATTGTGATTGACACTCAACTGGGGTGTAGCAAGAGGTCATAAAATTCTCTCTCTCTTTACCATATTTGTTGTCTTTCTCTGCCACCCTCCCATAAAAGGACATCCTTGTTGGATAGCTGGTGGCTTTTAGAGCTTAAAGATGAGGAGAAGCACAAATAAATCTTTCTTTCCTCCTTTGCTGCTGTGCCTTTACTACACGGTTTTGTTTCTCAGACTTCCACCCAGAGAAATCAACATCCTCAGCATGGAGGAAGAACAAAGGGTGGCATCAAACTGTTCCACAGTTTTCACAATGCCATGAAGTTGTTATTTTATTCTCTCCCACCTCCTCACTGCTTATACTGGAAACATCAGAGAGAATAAAATGACCCTTTCCAGATTTTCGCAGAGGAGTCATTTGTGAGTTAACCTGTGGAACTATGGGTGTATCTCACATCCCTGAGTCTGTAGGGATGAAATTGGGGACTTTTTATCTAAATATTTAATCTCTCACATAGTACAAAAAGAAGTGAAAAGACTTTTCATTTGTTTAATAATGTCTGATTAATCGAGTAAAAGAGAATAAAAAATGGTTTTTTTAATTAAAAAAAGTATCTTGGATGTTCCTTAAGTATTAGAAATCTACAGCCCAAATTCCTCTCAAGGAACTATTAAGTCATGTTTCTTTTGTGGTTGAATGTGTAAAATTCGAGGCCTGGAATGTTAGGAGAATAAAGGTGGAGAAGTTTGTTGTTGTAACTTTACAATCACTGTCCTCCACAAGTGCCATGATAGGAATAACAGTATCATCCTCGAAAAGGTCTTGGGAGTTACTTACTGATTCTGTCTGGAACCATAACTTGTCCAAGTTTGTGATTAATTGTCTAAATTACCCTGGTAGACATCAGACTTTTTTAATTTCAAAGATGATTATAAAAACACATTCATTTTGTGGATGTGTGCCCCATACTTCACTCTGTGCTGACATTTAAGATCTACATCACACTGTGCTGCCATTGAAGATTTATCTCAGATGAAATTATTCCTTTCTTTTTAATTAAGTTCATTTTTGGAGTGATAGAGATGGCCTGTCTGCAGGCTGACAGGGGAAGAGCTGTTTTGATAACGCGCCCTCAGGTGTGGTTGGAGCTTTCTTTTTAAAGCCCAACCTACAGTGCTCAAGAGAAATCAGTATTGGAGCTGGGGAAATTATGTCTTTGATTCTTGCACTTAAAAAATAGCTTTTAGATGGGGATTGTGATTGGAATTGCAGTACCATCCATGAGTTTATGTGGTATGAGGTTAAACTCTACGAAGAGGAAGGGGTGAGGGGCCTGCTGTGAGCCACACATGGAATTTTGATTAAATTCTGGCTGCAGCAGCCATCACCTTGGGTCTTTCATTTCAGTATTGATTGAAATACTGAAATCCACTGTTGTACATCTTAAATCTAAATGAATTTTGCCAGTAGTGAAGTCCTCAACCAGGATAAGCTCTAACTGGACATGATTAGGATTTTATTGATGATTTTGCTAGCTTGCTCTATCTGTGACGGTGTCAGTGCTCAATGAATTGATCCACTAGAATGGAAATATTAGCTTTTCTTTCTAGGTTTACTCTGATGTTAAAAACCAGAGAGATTAGCTTCCTGAAGTCCTCTTATTTCATTACTCTGTGTTTTAGAGTTATTTTATAGTTATTTAGAGTTATATTATAGAGCTAGTTATTGACACTATTGAGACTCTTTTTTTAATTAATTTTTTGCAGGAAATGAAATAAACCAAAAAGCATTTTTGATTTTGTGTTTCATTTGTTCCTTTTTATTGCTTTACTTTTTTAATTTTTTTTTCCTTTTCAATAGGCTCTTAATGAAAAGTACCTGGGTTGCTTTAAATAAACAGTTCTAGAGCAGATGATCTAGTTCTGATTTAATTTATTAGCTCTTTGTACAGAGAAGTGAAACCTGGATTCAGCTTAGGAAACTGGTGGCTTAAATGTGGGGTAGCAAACTGTGGAGGTTATAGTTTATGAACTGTTTTATAACTACAAGCCAGAGCCAACATACACCCCATTTCCTGTATAATTACAATTAATTTAACATACAAGGTGTTTAAAATTGGTCTGTTTAATCAAAGAAGCCTGAAATGACATGATTTAGTTTTATACTTTTGTAGTTCTTTAGAAAGTGTTATCCTATATTTGTTTAAAAGAAAACAAATTGAAGGTTTTTAAATAAAATTCAGTCCCCTGGGGAGCTATCACTAGGATCCCCTTAGCCAAAATCACTATGAATAAAGTTTACTCATCTGCAGTGGCTGTGGTATAAATTGCCTTTATTTCGTTGCAGGTGTGAGATAAGCATCAAGCACCACAAATAGGATGCACTGCTATAGAAAACTTTATACATTATCACCCATTGTAGCAAATCTGTCTTGCTGCCCTTTTAGTCTCAATTGAAACTTTTAAAGATCATGTAAACCTTGACGAGTTCATACAAAGCCCTTAAGAACACTTAGTTTTCAGTTCTTTTTTGTCCCCTTTTCAGTTCAGGTGATAATTCAATTTATTGAAACAATGCTTTGTAGAAAGAATAATTTCTTATTACTTCTGTGCATCATCTGCATTCAAGTGTCACCCCTAGCACAGGAAGGAGTGTGGAGAATATTTAAATGAGCCACTGAAAGATTTCCTGAGCTCAGTGAAATTACTGAGGGGATGGAAAGCATAGAAAACCCTCCACATCCACAAATACATTCATAGAAGAGTGGGGCAAAAAGCTGTATTATTTGGCATTTAATTTCCTGATTTAATAAACCAGGAGGCTCAACAGGTGTGATTTTTTTTGACCAGAAGCTTGTTTGCATGCAGCTCAGAGGGCTCAGGCTGGACGTGACCCCAGCCACCTGCTATTGAGATGGAAATGCCAGGTACTGAGAGTAGTTCCTTCCCTCTTTGCAATATTCAGTTGTGTTTGCCCTTAAGGTGGAGATGCTTCATTCCCAGGGCAGCCCAGTTCAGTGTCACACTGCCAGGGCATGGATTGGTGGCAGGTTGGAATCCTTCCTCCCTGTAAGCAAAGCTGGCAGTCAACAGCCCCCAGTCTCCTACCTTGTGCCTAAATCTATTGTGCCTGAAGGCAATTGTGCTTTTGCCTGGTGTCAGTCATCTTTTGGACATTGAAAATTTGGTGAAGTGATGTGTTTGTGCTTTCCTCTCTGATGCCTGGCATAACTTCCCCCTCCCTGGACCTTTTTGGTCAGAATCCCAGCTAAGTTATCTTGTATCCATTTCTTTTTTCAGCCTATGTAGGAACGTATCAAAAGTGATTCTGCCCATAAGTGGAATGAATCTGGCTCTCCTCCAGTAACTGTTGTCAAGAAAATCTCCTTTGCATGATATTCTGTCAGGGATGATGTTCTGTGCCTAAAATTGCTTTTTTTCACAGATATGGAGATCAGTTCTTTCAGCCAGTTGCTTTAAGGAATGTTTTCATCATTTTATTATCAACACATGGTTGTTCCACTCTTTTGTTTTACCCTATATTTACGTGCTCCTTTTGGGTAATGTTTAAAGTTAAAATGCTCGGAATCATATTTTATTAAATTCTGATGCTGAGATGGGATTAGGTCTTCTGAAGACTTCTTTCAGGTGGTTTCTGCCCTTCTGTTTTACTGCTCTACTGCAGTAATGAGAATTTATTGACTCCAAAATGTTTTTTGGTAAGTGGCAGTTTGGTAAAGCAATAACATAGCCTGTAGCTACTTCTTGGTGTTCTATTTCTGCATTGCTTTTTATCCTTGTGCATCCTCTTTCCCTTCCCCCCCCCCCCCAGTACTCACTAGGTTTTGTTTGGTTTTGGTTTTTGCTTTGGTTTTTTTTTAGGATTAAGATTCTTTTCCTTTAGTGTTTTTCTTTTTTAACTAAAACTCACATTTAGTTTGTGCAACTTTTACCTCACAAAGGCGATTGTCACAATTGCAGCTTAAGTCCTTGTCTCAGTTAAATGAGATCGAAGTGTTTTGCTAAGGAGGATGAGTTATGAGGAAGACCAAGCTCCTCCCTCTAAGCAAGTGGAAATCCAAAATTAAGAGACTCCGATTGAGGAAGTAGGGAGAAAAAAAAAATAACAGCCCCTTATTAAAGGCTACATATGTATTGGCAGAACAACAAAAGAACACAAAAACAACTAAACAATAATCCTGTACCCAACAGTCCCCTCCAAAAAGGAAACAGTTCAGCACTTTCTGCCTTTTGGCGCGATTCTCAGCACGGCCAGCAGGGGGCGCCGTTGGATCGCTGGGGGAGCAGAGCCCGCAGTGCTCGGGGTTGGCCAGCAGGGGGCGCTGTTGGGCTCTGGCGGTCGCCGCGCGAGGCCCCGGGAGCGGGAGAGGCCGAAAATGGAGATTTCCCCCCAAAACCAAGAAGGGGAAGGGGAAAGGGGGGAGAAAAGGGGCTCTTCCCACACTCATGCTGTTGGCGTCTGGCTGTGGCCGGGACTCCCCTCCCTTGTCAACGGGCACAAGCTGCTGCCAGCATGGGAGCGGAGGAGGGAAGGGGCAGCCTCCTCCCCCAAAGGTTCCTTTGCAGAAGGGTCAAGCCTCTTCGATGAAATTCAAGCAAGTCCAGGCTGGGGGCAGAACAGGACGCAGGAGAATGGAGGTGAACCGGGGCCAGAAGCAGCCAGATGACCCAGCCAGAACCAAAATTAACTTCAGAACCAACCCCCCCCCCCACACACACACCCTCCCTGAGTTGTGGCAAAAGTGAAATGTTTCCCGAAGAGAGAGAAAAAAAAACCCCTCATCACCCACTGCTCCACCAGTCTTCTGAGGGCCATCAGCTTGGAATGTGGGTCTGCTGGGTAGTTCTTTTGTGTGTGTGAATCACCCTAGCCAAACCACCCTCCCCTCCCTCATTCAATGTCTTTCTTTCACAGTGATGCAGGGGAAAGAAAAATTCACCGCTTGGTTTTTAGAACAAGTAAACCTATAACAATCCCATTTTTGCTTAGGATGCCTCCATTTTTACTTGTTTCCAGTATCTTTAGCACTCCACCGCCTCAAATTTATGCCAGGTTTTCCCTTGCAACTTTCCGCAAATATTCCTCTGTATCCCATTTCGTGTCTGACTGTCCATTGCTGCTTTCTGTTTACAGCTGATATTCCTTCTTTTTATCTTCAGTTTGATAATGGAAACATTGTGGATGCTGCTGACATCTGTTCCCATGCCCTTGATCTGGACAGGTGATCTGACTTGGCAGCTGATGACAGTGTGGCCAAACTGCTTTTTTTTGACCTTTCCTCTCATGAATTCTGTGTTTCCTGAAGGCATTTTGATGAAGGAAAGCAGCGTTTCTGAGAATTAAGTTGAACACTGAGCACAAATCAAAATGAGTGACTTGCTTTTTTTTTTTTTCTTTTCCTGATGCCAAACTCTCATTTGCCTTTTCCACTTTCTGGTTGTCACATCTTTAATATCAACATTCTCTATTGAGAGGAATAACTTGTATTTTGATATTCTGGCAATCACATTTTGGAGGCAGCTGTACAAACCATTTGTCATGTTCCTCTGTCACAGCACAGCTCTGTGTGATTGACAACTTCGTGAGGCTGATGAGAGAGATGTGTTGGTTGATAGATTTTTTAAATGGATAAATGTTATTCCTCAGAGATTCTGTATCATGAACGTTATTCCCATTGAATTAATATCTTCTCTTTAGCTGGGGTGGATAAGTTGTATTTTTCTCCTCCTTCCAACCCTTCTTTTGTGCTCAGTGACTTGCTCTCACCCCTGTGCAGGAGTAGGAGATTATAACTGACCACATCTCTCCTGATTCAAAGAGCTTCATATCAAAAACCCAGCTCTTGCATTTCAGCAACCACTGCTGACGTGCTGTCGTGCTGCTAGACTTGGGTTTTGAGTGGCCTAGTGTGGTTTTGACAGTAGTTTTGATCCACTCAGGGCTTCTTTTTGGTTCTTATTTGAAAGAACTGTTGCAATTTTTGCAGGAAATGAAGGTGGCAAAGCATCGCACTCCCTCTGGCCGTGGGATGCAACAAAAAGAATGGAATAAGTAGACCCCACATCTGTCAATGCGAAACATCTTTATGTTTCATTGTAGTTCTTATGTGTTTCTGTTGTTCTTTATCATTAAACTATCCCTATTTTTTGATTTTTTTTGAAGTTGCTGAAGATTAGAAAAAGTTGACCAGCTTTTCTGACTCAGCTGCTGTTTCATTTCCTTGTGGTCACCGTGCCATGTACATCTAATAAATTCTTACTTATTTAATAACTAAAGCAATCTGTGTGTAGATTCTGCTGGCTTCATTGGAAGCATAAATAATCACTTTTCTCATTAGTTCCACTTAACTAAATCTGAGACATTTTGGTAGCAAAGCTATTTGGTTATTGATTTGATTTTTACATCATTGATCTCAATTCATTATAAATTACTAATATGATCAATATTTATTACAGTTAATGCATTTTTCTTTCTTGTGAATTACTAAAAGAGCAAGGGCTGTTAGTACATTGTAAAATTACTAGTTTCAAAGACTTACTTTCCATTGAAATCTATTCTGAAGAAATTAGAAATTATTTATAATTTTGCCAGTTTAGCAGATATTTGGAGATTAGACATACACACCATTATCTGCAATGTTATCAAGGACAGATAGAACACAAGTATAGACTGAACAAAATTGAACATTTTGAATTCTCAAGGTGCATTGAAACCCAGCAGACTTAAAGTGTGGGCAGAAGTTACTGTTCTATATTTTTAAAATCAAAAGAGTGTCATACAAGTCCAAAATTAGTTTGTTTCATGCAAGAAATACTTTCCTGGGCAAAAAAACCCCAAACTTGTAATTTCAAAATTATCTTTGTCTCTTCCTATTTGAATTACATTTCTTATACTCTTTTAGAATGTGTGGATAATGTGTGGATAATAGAAGTTAAGTTTATAACATACCTTGTAACTGATAATTTTGAGAGTTGCTGAAAACTGCTGATGTTTGAGCCTGAACTTTGTATTGAAGTTTGAATCCATGTAAGAGTCACGGGGAAAGTGTGGTTCAGAAGGAACACAGGGATTTGAAATGGGATAAGTTGGTATTCTGACTAATGGGATGTTTGGGAATGAAAATACTGTTTATAATCAATTTTCTGTTTCCCTCTCTCCTTCCCTTCAACATCTAAAACCCCTAACTTTTCACAAAACACCTTGACATACAAAATATTTGAGGGGAATGAAAACTGTCTCCAGCTTTATTTGTGACAAAATCTAATATCTCATGTGCTTACATTTGCTCTGATGAATATATAAAAAAACCTGGTTGACTGTAGTGTTTGCTCAGTTAAAAACAGTTGTAAATTGAAAGTCCTTCATGTCCTGGTTGTATTTTTTACTGCTGAAAATTTTTGCCACATACTATTGCAGCAGCCAAGAAGACACTGTGAACATAGAAAATATTGTGATTTCTGCCTTTGAATTTGCTCCTCGAATTTCCGAATTGATTTATTCAAATGAATTTATTATGTGATTTGTGCCTATGTGGTCAGAGATCATTTTCAACTGCATGCAGAACTCTGCCGAGGATAAACATGTTTAGTTGTAAATGACAGACTAACATTTTCTTATGGATGGCCTCAGGACTTTAAAAAGATGCCAACAGATAGTGTAGGTAAAGTTAAAGGAAATATTTCACTCTTTATTAAACATCAGTCTTATTTGTACTTGTACTTTATGTACAACTATAATATGGGGAGTAGCAGAGGCCTTCAGAAAAGACCTCAAGAGTGGTTACTGACATTACTACTGTAGTACCTCATGGAAATGTATTGAGAAAAAAGATATATATGCATTAACATTTTTCTTTGGCCCATGTGCAATCCCTGCATCCCATATTGAATCATAAGGGGACAGAACTGGAAAGGATTTTCAAGGTTTTCACATCCTCTGTTGCTTCACAGTTCTCTCTGTTCCTCCCACAAACTTACCCTAAGATAAGTGTAGCAAAAAATGAATTAGAATTATTTCCTGAATACCATTTTTTGGGAACAATTCTTGTGGATCAAACTGATTGTCATATCAGAACATCCCAGAATCAAGTGGATAGTTAAACATCTTGGAACATCCCTTTTTGAACAGGTTTTCCATGAAGGTTCTCTCTGAAGAAGATGGTCTCTGGTATTTTGTGGAAAGACTTGAACCATCCTGTGTTTTGACAGGATGCACAGTACTTGTGCATTGGTTATTATAAATGTACATCTAAAATATAATTCTGTTGATGTATGTTTTGTAGATTTATTGTGTGTGTTTCTAACTATTTATTGCATTTCTAAATTTTAGACTTTAAGGTATTGTTTAATTATTTTTTCATTAATTAGTCTTAAAAATAATTTCTCTTTGCAGAAATGCATTAGATTTAACCCAGAAGCGTCAGTGTGGGTTGCAAAGCAGCGGATTTTGTGCACTTTGAATCAGAGTTTGAAAGATGTCCTGAATTATGGACTGTTCCAGCCTGCAAGCAATGGTAGAGATGGGAAGTTTTTGGATGAGGAACGACTCCTGAGGGAATACCCACAGCCGGTGAACAAGGGAGTTCCTTCACTTGAGGTATTTATGTTTGCAGTAGTAGGGAAGCAGTTGCTGGATAACCAGCCTTTGCTTTCTCCCAAAGAGAAGATCTTTCTGTCTTAGTGAAGCCTTTTTTTCCCCATCTGGCTCTCTCTGCCATCCTTCAGAGTGCACAGATTTCCTCTGTCTGTCTCCTGAGAAAGCAGGAAGGGAGGAGAGGTTGTGGATGTGGAGCAGTCACTGGAATTTCCCCCCTCTCCGTTGCTCATGCAGCTGGGGATAAACTGGGCAGAACTATTATGGCACTAAAAAAATATGGAGCAGAGCCAGATCATGCAGAAACACACTATAGCAGGAAACTGGGGCATGAAACTGGTGTTTAATTAATTTTGGTGTTGCCTGTATGGTGGTACATCAACCACTAATAATGTGCAGTTAATAAACTTACTCCATTATAACACAAATCCAAAAGAAAAGAACCAGGGCCCTGGGAAAGCTTCAAGTTTTACATTTTCTAGCAGTTTATTTCAGAGATTCAATCCTTGATGTTCATATTAAAGCTGCAAACAAATTAAATACCCACTTAAATGTTGATTTTTTAAATTTTTTTTCCCTGTCATGTTGTTTCCTGAGTGTTTGCAAAATTCTCACTGCAGAAATTCAGGAGTTAAAAGTGTGAAAAGCTGGTGTTAAAACCTCATTCAGTGCAGTCCCCTTGTCCAACAGAAATGCAGCATTCTTTGAATTCTGGATAGGACAATTAGTAAATTATAGTAATAAATTTTATTAGTAGTAAATTATAACTATGGAACCCCCCCTTGATTTTTGGTGCTGTGGCCATAGGGTAGAAATTGCTCAGGGTAAAATGTGAGTTTCAGAAAAAAAAAAAAAAAAAAGAGACAATCCTCATTCACAAAACAAGTCCTGTTCCACATCAGGACAACTACTCCCATGTTTGTAAAATTCCTCCTACATTGAGTTTTCAGGAATCCTTTTAGAAATGCTAAACTGATATTTTGAAATGTGAATTTTTTTATTTAACATGCTTTCCCAGTTCTTTCTGCCTGAGACTATAAATGAAAGTGCCTGAAAATCCTCAGGGAAAAGCTCTTTTCAGTGTGATTCTTGCTTATTTATGTAGATTCTAGAGGCTGATTTCCTCCTTTGATTTTAATATAGTCATATGAGATATGAATTTTGCTTAAATGAACTGTAAAATTATGATATTGGTATGTTAAGCAGACTGCTGATTATTGGTAAATATTCAAAATGAAATACCAACCCTTTTTTTTTTTTTGTTTAGCCTAAATCACATGATTGTGGATGATACTTTCTGGTAAGGTCAGAAAATTATGAATTCTGAGTTTTAAAATTTATTCTTCTTTTCCTCCCTCAGTTTCGATACAAGAAAAGAGTGTACAAGCAGTTCAACTTGGATGAAAAGCAGCTGGCCAAGCTCCATACCAAGGTATTCCCAACTTCTTGGAGAATTTACCAATTATCTGCTCAGTAAACTAATGTGAGAAACTGGAAATAAGTAGGAGTTCATTACCAAATGCTGAAAAACAAACAGCGTGTGCTGCCGATGTGTGAATTGTAATCTGGAAACCTTTTCCCATAGACAAGTTCCCATGCTTGATTCTTCCATATATATATATACTCAGAGGTTTTTTCCAATTTAGTCGATTTTGTGATTCTGTGATATAAATGTAATTTTAAATGAACCTTCCTTTGTAAATCCAATGTGCTTTCCACATGCTGCAAAAATGCAGATCTGGGTCTTTAGACTGCTTTGCAGATCAGAATAATAATAATAATAATGATCACCAAACACCAGCCTAATTTCTTACTGAATGAATCACTCATTTTTTCCTTAAAACTGTAAAAACAAGACTCTCTTACATTGACTTTTGAGCTTTATAAACAATAAGTTTTATGTTCTTAGTATAAAGTCATTCTCCAGGAATGTGTGTTAACTACTTTCAGTGGTGTCATCAATGGGTGTTGACATCAACTGACAGAATATTTTACTTTTAGTCAAAATTTTTATGTTTAAAATCAGAGGATGATTAATTTGTCACTCTTTGTTTCAGGCTAATTTGAGAAAATTCATGGATCACGTCCACCATCTCTCTGTGGAAAAAGTGACCAAGATGTTGGACCGAGGACTGGACCCCAACTATCATGATCTGGAAAGTGGAGGTCAGAACAATAAGACAAACCTTGAGCTTGTTAAAGCTAACGTGATTAACAGGTTGAATTTCACACATCCTTTCTCTTGCCCTCAGGACTCTGGGCTAATGGCATCTGTGTGGTTTTGCTGTCCACAGATAACTGATAATTTATGATTTTCTTTGAACGGCATTTTTAACTTTGACATTTTTTAAAGTAAATTATTGTATAATTTTGCTCACCTTTTTCCAAGTACATGCTATTTTTTTTTTCTTTAGAAACACCCCTAACTTTGGCAGCTCAGCTTGACAATACAGTAGAAGTGATAAAAGCTCTGAAAAATGGAGGAGCACATTTAGACTTCAGAGCCAAAGATGGAATGACAGCTCTGCACAAAGCAGCCAGGGCCAAGAACCAAGTAGCCCTCAAGGTAAATGCTTTCAATACCAAAGTATATATTATATTATTAAAAAAGATACATAAAGGAGAATATTTTCAGTTAATTACCATATTGTCCTTAGTGGATCCTTTAATATGTCCTTGTGCTTTCTTGTGGCTTTCAAATCTTAGGATTTGCTTTCAATAAAAGGCCTTTTCACTTCTGATTTTTTTTTTTTTTAGTAGGAGGAAAAAAAGGGTGAAATTTAAGCTCATTCATTGATACATTGGGAAAGATCTGTCAGAGGAAATAGGAATAGAGTTATTGTCACTTACCTCTTTGAAATCAGATGCCAGTGGCCTGGATTACACATTATATTTTAACACAATCTGTTCTGTTTTCTTTTGTATTTTAACAAGTATTCTTAAATCCCACTGATAGTCTAGAATAAGCCTTAGGTTTATGGCTTTTGCTCATTTTCTTTTGACAGATATTCAAATAGCATGACATTTTTGATAAAGCACCTTGTAGCTGAAGAGGTGAATGTGCTGCAAAGGTGATGTAGTATTTGAAGAATTGAGATTTCTGAACTTAGAGAGAGAATGGAAATTGGACTCATTGCCACTCATTCTTTCTGTGCTATCCCCATAGATTCCTTAGATCCTAATGCTTCCAAGGTCATTTCTTCATTAAAAAATTTCTTGCTTAAAATGGGGCTGGGGCACAATTTAACAACTGACAAATAGGTGAGCAAAGAGTATATATTAAGTATCAACCTTATAAATACTTTTTCAGGTAAAGACCCTTTATAGGTAGAAGTGCCTCCAAAATATATTTTTCACAGTCTGTGATTGCTTTCAGACCCTTTTAGAGCTGGGAGCATCTCCCAACTACAAGGACAGCTGTGGCCTGACCCCGCTGTACCACACGGCTGTCGTGGGAGGGGATCCCTACTGCTGTGAGCTCTTACTCCATGAACATGCCACAGTGAGCTGCAAAGATGAAAATGGATGGCAAGAAATCCATCAGGTGGGAAAGATTATTCTTTACTTGGAGCTGAACTTGCATGAGGAAATGTGCCATGTTTATTCTATGTTTCAGCTCCATTTTGAAGGCCTTTTGGATACCTTTTAGTCCAGGCATTTAAGTATGGAATTTCTTTCCTTTTTTTATTTGCTTTTTCTGGTTTTGTTTGTTTGTTTGTTTGTTGGGGGTTTTTGTTTATTTTGTTTTGTTTTGTTTTTTCACTATGCATCCTGCTGTGGTGAATTAGAAGTGGAAACTGTTCCAGTGCAGTTCTGTAACTTTGAAATCCTATGGTTACTGTGGATTTTGCTGCAGAAATTGCACTGGTCGTATTTATGTCATGGACTCTTGAAGTTTAACATCTGGTTTAGTGGCACTTCAGTAAAAGAGTGTAGCTTTTAGTTAGATGCCAATGTTGGTATCCTTGGCAATGCTTCTTGTGTGTGTGTCAGAGTACTTTCTCCTTTGTCTCTGGTGAACTTTACAGGAAGATTTGTGTTCAGGATCCTGCTGCTGGGATCCTTCAGTTGTTGCACTGATGGTTGTTAAACTCTTACAAACTCACAGTTTGAGTCAGTTTTCCTCCTTCTGTGTGTGAAAACTGGGTTCCTAATACTTTTCCCTTTGCTGTTTGGGTTTTCCTTTCCTCTCTTACATACTCAGTGTGTGGCTAAAGTGATAGTGTGCTCTATAATGAAAAATTTTTTTTAAAAGTAGTGTTCTGAGATTCGTAAAAACTTATATCTTTGAACTCTTATTGTCTTCTCCAGAAACATCTGAATATTATACAACAGTTGTGTAAGAACGCTTTATTAATTCCTCTGTGCATAACGATAACCTAATAATTTACAAAGTTTAAAGATTGTAATAATCCCAATGTCATTGCAGCTACTTTATGCCTTTTCTCTGTATGGATGAGTTTGAGTAATCATAAAAATTCTGAAGATAAAGACAAGAATTCCCTATTTTTAAAACCCAGCCTCGTTCATGTAAGGCCATTATTTCTTGTAATAAAACAGAGCTTTCCAAACCCACTGTATTAGTTGTAATCCTAAATAAATCAAAGTTTACACCTGCATTAGGGGCAATCTGTTTTCAGTAATCAATAATCCAAGCATTTCTCAATGAATTAAGATGGATGGTGATATGATACAGTCCCATATGTTGTTGTCTGTGTGCAGAAGCTGAAGTTACCTTGCATGGCAAGGAAATAATTGCTAGCAAGTATAGTTGTCATTTTGCTAATGCAATCTTTAGCTTTTGGAGGTAAGTCTCTGGGTTACCCTTATAGTAAAGGGGAAAGATGGCAGTTCATGTTGGGCCAGGATAGTAATAATAAGGATATCCCCTGGAAATACCTGTCTCTCTCTGGACTGGTAGCCCTGATGAATGATCTGTCACAGATTGATTTAATTTGTGCACTGACAGTACACTTAATTTTTCTCATCCAAATTGTAGATTCTGTCCAAGTGTGTCAGTTTGTACCTCCCCCTGAATTCAGCAGTAATTAGGTACCTGAGACAGACTCAATAGCTTTCTATACCTCTTTGTCTTAGCCAAAATCCTGTATTATATAGGAATTATGATGATCTGAGATGGTATGAAGTTAAAAATATTAGGACTTGGGAGGTGCTCTGTCAGTGTGCCAGAAAGTGGTCAAGTAAATGAGACTGATGAATAGAAATACTGAGATTTTTCTCGAATTTATTTGCTAATCAGGAAAATTTCCAATTTCAGTGATATCTTAGAGACTTACTTCCAAGTATTTGTGTGACAGATAAAGTGACTCCTGAAGATTTTTCCCTCTCTTGGTTCAGTGCCATGTGTATACTATGTGCCTAGTTGACAGGCAGATAGTCAGATACATCACAGAACCAAGAAGATTATTCAATTTTGGCCAGATTTCCCTAAATAGAAGGAAGAAGCTTTGGAAATCTGACCGTCTTCAGTGCCATCTACTGGGCAACATTCCGAGGAGTAGCAGGACCAAAAACTCTTCTGTCCGTTACTTGTCACGTTTGAGTCATAAATATTAGTGGATAAAAAGTTTCAAACGTAGTATTTCCTTGATCCCTTAAATCACCATCCCCCAAATAAGCAGATCTAGGTTGTATAATAACCAAAATATTAATGAATCTCTGACCAGGCTTGCAGGTATGGACATGTCCAACACCTGGAGCACCTCCTCTTCTATGGCGCCGACATGTGTGCCCAGAACGCCTCAGGAAACACGGCCCTGCACATCTGTGCCCTCTATAACCAGGTGAGACCCTGTGCCACAGAGTCCCACTGTCGTCCTTCAGTGACAGAAAGGTTCCTTGGGGGAGTTGAGAGATTATGGAACCATAGAATCATGGAGTGCTTTGCATTGGAACGGACCTTGAAGATCATCTTGTTCCAACCCCCTGCCACAGGCAGGAACACCTTCCACCATACCATGTTGCTCCAATCCCTGTCCAACCTGGCCTTGAACACTTTCAGGGATGGGGCAGCCACAGCTTCTCTGGGCAACTCGTTCCGGTTCCTCACAGGGAAGAATTTTTTCCTAATATCTCCTCTAAACTTACTCTCAGTTTGAACCCATTCCCCCTTGTCCTGGCACTCAGGCTCTTGTAAATAGTCTCACTCCATCTTTCCTGTAAGTTCCCTTCAGGAAAGCAACTTAAGGGAAAGATGGGGCAAGACTACTGTGCTTGGGATCCCCTCTGCCTGGCTGAGTGGGGAGGGATGTCTTGCTTTGAGGGAAGGTAAGTCCAGTCCCACTGGAAACCAGTGTTGTGGGAGAACAGCACACAGCCAGAAAAAAAAGGCCTAATTGAGGTACAAATGCTAAAATTTCCATGTCCGTCCACAAAAACAGAGGCTTGGAGAGTTTCCTATTGAAAAAGTTTACTAGTTTGATGTTAGATTTTCCTGAGATGCAATTCCCTCACTTTTAATAAATGCATTTGGGATAAATATCCCATTGTTATTGATCTACCAGAGGCAAGTTACAGTTAAGAGCAACCCATTATTTTTAATTTGATTTACTTAATACGCAACGAAGTGTTTCAGGTTTTAAAACGTGGTCTTAGAAACTAGAAAGAATGTAATTAAAAACTGTTTTATTTGTGTTTTATTCACTGATTACAAATAAGGCTGCTCACTGTAGGTAGCAAGAAATACATATTAAATAGAAAACAATATGTTCTACCAGCTTTTTTTTTTTTTTTGGGCATCATATCTAAATACTTGTTTCCTATACAGAATTTATTGATGGTCTGCTGGAATCTAAATCAGAATTAAATAAGAAATAATTAGAAAATACTGTGGAAATGTCTCTGTGGTTTATATAGAAGATTCTTTGCTGTTAACAACTTGTGTAGTAGTTTACAAATAATGGAATGTTATAATTTTATAGCATTTTATATTCTCAGGGATGAGATGGAGAGGGAATGAGTTTTACAACAATGTTAAAATTCAGCACATATAATATTACATGGAATTAGGAAAGCACGAGATGTGACTGTAAATAGTGAAACATCTGTTAAAGCATCTGCTTCTTAATTAAATACCATCCTAGTTTTTTCCTAAAGTCTTGTCAAGACAGATTCCTCAATGAAGTCTAAAATACCCTCAACCTCTTAAAAAAAAAAGAATTTTGGGGATAATTTGGCATTTTTCAAGACTACTGACAAAACAAAAATTTTACATTTAGGCTTCACATCGAGATCTTAACATGTATAATTGAAGCATTTATACTGAAAATTATTTTAAAATATTAATTCTAACCTCATTTATTTCACTCTTCCTGAGTAAGAATTTCAAAGACCAGACTGTAACACACATATAAACTTAAAATCCTGATTTTTTTTTTGGTAACTGTTTTATTGCAGTGGCCATAGTTGTTTACAAGACCATACACTTCTAGCAAAGATTAAGCAGTATGAGATCTTCCTTAGAATAATTAATAATTAATTAATCTGATTCTAATAATGAATTACAGTAATCCCATGGCGTGCTAGTATTTTCCACATAGGGATGTGTTTTCCTGACCTCCTGGAAGAAATTGTTCTGTGGAAGATTTTGAGACTCCAATTGAAACTGCATCTAAAAATTTGGAAATATTTTCACAGTGATTAAGCTTGGCTTTGTGAATGGAATTTTAACATCTTATCTATGCAGTCATCCGTCTATTTTCCTTAGTCAAGTGTATGTGGGAATAAAAAATGTTTTCATAAGGCTCTGAGAAGCATAACCTGATTTTTTTCAGTGTTTTTTTTTTTTAATTGGAAGTTGTTATTTGTTCCTGTGGAAGGAACGGTGCTGGCCTTTTCTGGCTGGAGAGGATGGGAAGGACATCAATATCCTTGTTACCTCCAGATTCCTGTAGATGGAGTCGTTACCCATTTGATATTCCCTTCCTGTCTTCCCTGGGGAATTTTCTTGGGATACTTCCTGAAGTTGGTCAGTCTGTTTTCCTCAGTGTCAGCTAAGTCCTGATCCCAGTAAACCCTTGGTTTTGAAAGTTATTTCATGGCCTTGCAGTATCTCAATGCATCCTTATGTCTCTATGTTTTGCAAAAAAAAATTCTGAGATGAAATGTGCCCTCTTCACTCAAAGGGTTGGATTCTAAATGACAACTGTTGTAATATTAAATCAGGTAATTAGCTGTCAGACAACAAATTGAATCTAATCTATTGCCAAGCAAACAGTTCTCTGTGAAATTCTTTTTAAATCTTATGAAGTCTAAAAAGCTACTACATATTCAGTTTATGATATAATAAATGAACAATACTGAGCTCTCAATATCAGAAGTTATTAGGTTGTCAGAGCTAAAACACGTGCAAAAGGAGTTCTGGCATTTATAGGCAGCACCCTTACAACAGAGAGTTTTAAAATGTGGAATTTCCATTGAATTAGTACAGAAAAGTAATCAAAATAATTTCTGATGGTGCCTTTTTTGCTTATTCTCCCTGATTTATTCCCCTTGATACTCAGCAGATGGATACAACACAAAAAGGAGAGAGGATGAAGCTAAAAATGCTTCTGTTTGTTTCAAAAGAATAAAGAAAGAATAAATAAGCAAATGAAACTTAATAAAAATAAATTTTCTTGAATTTTTTTTTTTATCTTAAACAACTCTGTGGCTTCTGGCAAAACTTTTCTAATCAAAACCATTTAATTAATAAATCCCTTTACATGTTTTTGTTTTGTTGAAGACAGATCAGTTAAATTTATAGAGAGTTTTTAAATGTGTAATTATTTTGGTTTTGTAATGTTGAACTATTTATTCTGATAATCAAATGAATAATCACCCAATAAACACAATATATTTCTGAATATAATTATTTATATCCTCAAGTCCTTGATCAAAGTTGGGCATTGATCATCCTGTATTTAGAGATACAGAGAATACACCTAAGGTGCAGATTTCAGTGCAAGCAAAGGAGACTATTTCAGTTAATTATATATAATTCAAAAATTCAAAATTATATATAATTCAAAAATTATTGTTGACATACCATCTTGAAACAGGATCCATTCTGTTATTTCAGTCGGAAACTTCCTTTCCAGATAACTTAAGGCAGCCCTGCGATGAAGGAAACTTAATGGGATAAAGAATCCAGTGTGGTAAAGCAGAAAACACAATGACAAAAATTATTTTCAATCATAATTGCTGCACATTAACCTGTGACTGAGAATCTGGTAAATAAACTTCATTTCTGTCACTGAAACAGCTGAATTATGGGATTGTTTTCTCTGACTGCAAATTTGCTGCTCAGAGTGAAAGGTGGCACATAAAAATACCTGCTTAGGTAGAACCCCATAACACAACATGTCAAGAAATCCAGAAAGCACAACAAAATTAATAGAAATATTTATGGTGAGGAAATATAAAACCATTTTGAAATGGGAATTGGTTTGCAGGGGGTCCCAAGAGGAACATTAAAGATGGCAGGTAGGAAATAAGTGGTAAAAATGCTTTGTTTAATTTCTAGCAGCAGGGAAGGGTATAGCTCATCTTAGGAACTGCTTGCTGCACTGTTTTTCCTACAAAATAGGCAAAAACCATCTAGGAGTCAAATTTCATTTTGAAATAACATATTTTTCTGCAAAGTCTGATTTGTCAAATATAAAATTTTCTCAGTACAGTTTCTTAAAAATTTAATAAGATGTTTACGTCTTGCATTTCTCCACAAATTTTTTACACTTACATATTGTTTCTAGTCTGATACACTGCTAAGCACCTGAAGTCCTGTTATATTTAAAATACTATTTTAACAACTGAAGTTCTCAGATTATTTATTTTTATATCATTTATTTGTATTTTATTTAAATAGTGTTTTATGACTATATATATACTTCATATGACTATATACCACACAGAAACACATCTCACAGCCTCTTGGTAGTCATAGTTTTTTACTTAAAGACCCTTATTTGCCTAAAGACCCTTATTAACAAGTTTACTTTTCTGTCATTTTCAGGAGAGCTGTGCAAGAGTCCTGCTGTTCCGGGGAGCCAACAAGGAGATTAAGAATTACAACAGCCAGTCTCCATTTCAGGTAAGAAACCCCAAATATTCCTTTCCCCCTTGAAATATTTGGAAGACAATATCCTGCAGACTTGGTTTTGTGGAGAATTTACAGTGCTCAAGGCTGAAAACTGTTGCAGAGTGAGATAACTCTCCTTTTGAAAACTTTGGTTTTTTGTAGTGCAATAAGTGTGTCCTGGAATAGTTAGGAATGAGAGAAAAATACACTCTTAGCAGGTCCAGTGACACTGTTAATGAGTTTGAGGATTGTGAGAGCTGTTGGTGACAAAGCATGAAATCTTTGGTGTTCTGTGGTTGGATGTGCCTTGCTTTGTGTTTATGTCCAGTCCCCTGTAAGACAGATTCAAGATGCCATATAAGAGGAATCCAAGGACTGACCGGGCAGCTTGGCATCTATTGATTTAACCAGAAAAAAGCTCTTACTTCCTTGGATGTGAGGCCAAAGTTGGCCTTTAGCTGGGCTAAGTTTCACAGATGGGATTAATTTAACGCAGTTAAGGCTGAAGTTGTCATCTATTCTCTCCAAAATAAAATGAAGTCTTCTTTTAGATTAGTCAATTACTAGACCTTTTTTCTCCACTATTTTCTTATATTAAAGTACTTTCAGAAAGCTTAATTAAAAATCCAAATGGAAGAGAATTGTTTGTCCAAAGGGTTGTCAGGCATGGCTGACACCCCTAAGCCCTTCCTTCTGAAGCAGGATTAATTAGCCTGGATTTCAGGAAACACTCATAATGCAGATTGACATGTAAGAAATAGGGATGGAAGCTGGAATGTTTTAAAAAAGAAAAAACAACCCAGAAAAAATTTTTTTCTGGTTACAAAAACCAGTGATTCCGGATGGATGAAATAGTTGGAATAACTATATTCATGTGGGTCTCTGAGTTGACTCCTACAAGTTTATGTGTAGATAACATCTCTGAGTTACAGCCTTTTAAAAAAACCCAAATATTTCTGTATCAGTTTAATTATCTCCCTATTTTGAAGGTTTTCCAGACCTAAGTTTTACATCTCAAGAACTTAAGAGTTCCTCTTGCAAATCCGAGCCAGATCATGTTTTACTTTTGGGACCATCTTCCCCAAATTGGGGAAACAGTGCATTAATAATTTAATTTTAGGCACTATTTTTTGGACTGCTAATAGTTTGCCATCTAAATATATGTCAAGCACAAATTCAGTAAGTACTGGATAATGCTTTTCACTGCACCTCAGAATTATGGAATGATCAAAAAATGGAATAAGAGAAAACCCTAATTATTGGAGAGATGGATTGCAGAGTTATCTCTTGGATTATATTATTTTATTTTATTACCTTATATCCTTTTTCTTTTAGGATTTTTTGGGAGAGGGTAAATGGCACATAAAAGAGTTTCCATTTGTCTTCTTTGTGCTGACTACTGCAAAATTCCTGTATTTCCTCTTAGAACAGAAAAATACAGAAGAAAAAGGCAGAAAAGAAAATATTTGTTAAAGCTGTTGCTGATGGTTGTAGGGCATCAAGAAGTGAGGGATGGCTACCAAGAACTAAATATAATGAAGTGAGCATGGGAGACAGAAGAAATAATAAGTGAACTATGTCCTGTCCATATGGAATAAAATAGTTTGTTATTATTTAATATTTGTTACACTTCTGTTTCTTGTGCTTTTGGCTGGTTGCTCTCCCCCTAATCAGACAGAAGCACTGACATTTAGGTTGGCTTTGTTTTACCCTTTCTGGATCCACGTATTTGTAAAAAGGAAATTACTTCCCATCTTTTCACTCTGTGGAGTCTTCCTTCAGGTGTAGTGGATATCATTTCAGTTCTAGTTTTCCTGAGTGGAGCGAGTAGAGGAAACCCTGACTCCAGCACTGTGATAAAGCAGCATCAGAATTAATTCTTTGCCATCTGTCTGTTGCTGACCCAGTCAATCAAACAGCACGAGTGGAGCTGTTATAAAATTATGCAGAATCCCCTTGAGTTAATAGGATTTTGCATACTAAAAATGTTTGCTCATGTAATCAGTAGCTCATGTAATCAGAGCGGGTCCAGAGAAGAGCAACAAAGCTGGTGAAGGGACTGGAGCATAAGTCCTATGGGGAAAGGCTGAGGGAGCTGGGGTTGTTTAGCCTGGAGAAGAGGAGGCTCAGAGGTGACCTCATCACCGTCTATAACTACCTGAAGGGAAGTTCTAGCCAGGTGGGGGTCGGTCTCTTCTCTCAGACACTCAGCAATAGGACAAGGGGGCACGGGCTTAAACTCCACCAGGGGAAATTTAAGTTGGATATCAGGAGAAAATTCTTTACAGAGAGAGTCATCAGGCATTGGAATGGGCTGCCCAGAGAGGTGGTTGATTCACCATCCCTGGAGATTTTTAAACGCAGATTGGACGTGGCACTGAGTGCCATGATCTAGTAAATGGACTGGATTTGGACCAAGGGTTGGACTCGATGATCTCGGAGGTCTTTTCCAACCCAATCGATTCCATGATTCTATGATTCTAAGAAACACCAAGGCATCTCATATGTACGTAATGAGAGCAGTTGTAGCTGCAGCATCTATTCCTTTGAGTAACCCCCATTATGTTCTTTTCTCAGCAATCTGAAAGGATGATTCTTTCTGAGTTGCTGCTTAGAAAAATGATGATATGAAAACTGTACTGATCTGTAAGACGAAAGGATCCAGACATGGAGAAGTTTATGTGTTGCTTGCAAGGCCTGCCAAGGCTTTGTTTGTTTTGATGAAAATGAGCAGCAGAGTTTGTATCAGGCATTAGTGTCCGATGAATGAGATGTGATTTTGCCACCAAAAAAATAGATGTGCACACGTGTTCATTTCTTATTAAAACAAGCATGGGTATACTGGATCATATGGAAGGAAGACTAATGTGGGCTGAACTCTGTGCCACTTAGTTCCGGGATCCCACATTGTGCACTCATCTCTGCCTGGGATCTTGCTGAAATTTTGCCTTTTCAAGGCAGAGTTCATGTTGGAATGGCATTGCCAGGTGTAGAGGACATAAAAAAGCTTGTCTGTATTTCCCACTTAAGCACCTAAGTTTTGTTAGCTGCCTCTGCAGGAATGTGTTTCATCCTGACTGAATATTGGAGTCCATTAAGTCAGTAATCAGTTAATGTTACCCACAGCTGAAATTTTGCAGAATGGTTCAGCAGAAATTTTTCTGTATGTTTGTTTTATTGTATGGTCTTCCCTCTGCTAATAAAATTTATATGGATGTGGGGTGAACATCCTCCCTCCATCCTCCCTGTTCATGTTCCAAGTAAATCAGAGCAACTCCTGCACCACTATCCTCAGTGCAAGTGTGAGAATTTTTTGTGTACTGTGTGTTTTGGTGATTACCTAAATAGAGGTAAGATGAAACCTGTGCAATATGGTTATACTATACTGCCATTTCTGTTTATTAATCACTTATCCATCCCATCTTGGCTGGGTAATCTAAGTACCTTACATGTTATTTTATTAGTAAAACCTTCCCAAATATCCTTTCAGAAAAGCCACAATATCCTATCACTGTCCATAGCTACTTAGTTTTCCACACATTTCATGTGCTCCTAACGTAAAAAAATTTGTTTTCTATCTGGCAAACATTAATCCAGTAACTCAGCAATCTCAGTTTTGCAGTGTTTACGAGCTGTTGTAATTCTGGTTTTTGAGTTAAAATGAACCTACACCTCATTTACCATGTTTTTCCTTTTTCTTTTAGTGAGCAGCAGCTCTATATGATAATTCATATGTTTTTATATGGGCTACAGAGCACTATTTTAGCGAATAGCACTAATAATTAATGTTTTTAAAGCAAATGTGTTAAAATATGCAGAACTATACTGAGGTGGCATTTAGTGACATCTTTTAGTGGCAGGATTGCACCTGAGAGTAATTTGTACCTCAGATGTACCTTATTATTGCCCTTTGCTGTCCCAAACCAGCATGGAAAATCAATGTGTTTACATTACATAGATGGCAGGAGGAGCAGCAGTCTTCTGCAGGTAGAATTGTTCCTTTCAGTGTGTTGGCTGTACATCTATTTTCAATTGCTCATATTTTTGCTGAATTTGAATCATTTGAGATTAAATGTTCCGTGCCTGGTGTCTCAGGCAACATTGTTCAGAAAAAACTAAAATGATTCAGCTATTTCAGAGTCTGGGTGAGGGAAAACATGTGTTGTTTTTGCTCCTGCTGAAAAGCTCTGCTGACCCACCTCTCCTTGTCCCATCTGCCCTGTTGTGTTGTGTTGTTGTGTTTGCTTTTGTTTTCTTTAATTGCCCTGCACTCTGTCGGTGATCTCCTTGTTAAATCCTGGCACTGGGAAGGATTTAACCAGATTCCAGATTCCAGATTTGGAAGCTGAACTGGCCTGGGGGGAGAATAGACAAACACAACTGGGAATGGATAAGTCAGTGTGGAGCATGGAGATGGGTGAGACAACACAAGACTGGCTGGGAGGCCAAGCCCAAAAAAGGAGAGTGAATGGAGCAAGATGAAGGTTGATAAATGGTTTTAGGGAAATTTTTAGTCATCAAGGGCAGAAGGGAATAAGATTAAGATATTGGGGACTGTGGATATTGGGACTGTGTGAAAAAAGGGAGTCTTAGCTGGGTAATGATGGTGGGGATGAAGCCTTGAACTTGGAAACTGGGAAGGATGGGGCTATCTCAAATTGGGTGTGTGTGTAGTGCTCCCAGCCCTGCTGGTGCTCTGTGAAAAAACAGCCTTGTTTAATATCCAGCATATCACTGGAATGGCTTCCCATACCCCAGTTTTGATTTAGATTTTTGCAATTTTACATTTCCATCTTTTTGATGAAATTTACAGGCAAAGGACAAGAAATTGTTCTCAGGTGGTTTTTGTCTTACTTATTTTTGAAGGGTAAGAAAGCTAATTTTAAAACTAAAAACCTCTACTCCGTGCCTCAAAAAAGCATCTTTACAAATATAAAGCAATGCTTTCTCTCATGATGTTAAACTATGTAACTGTTGTGTTAATGGAACATATGAATTACACCAGGACTTTG